TTATTATTTATGGTAAGTTTCTCCTACTTTCGGACAAAACCTGTTTTACACACCTCCATCCCCCTCCACATAAAAAAGATCCAAACATGTTTAGCTTTTGATTATTATCTTTGGTTGAATGAGACTAGATAATAGTCTGGAGTCTGTAACAGAAACGCAAAAGCACATGCACGGCACAATAAGAGGCTTTAATAGCATCAATGTTTTTCTTTCTCGCCTTTTTAGAGAAAGAGCGGTTGCAAAGGCACCGCCCTTCACAGCACAGACGAAACTGGAAGTGATCACGAACCACTAGCCAGCCAGCTTAAGACTTTTGTTCACGGCTACAATTGTTTCGGAAACCAGATTTGAGGATCAATACTATTTGAACTTGTCACCTCGTGAATGCAAGCCTGTAACTAGACTGAAACCCTTAGACTACGAATGACTGTGTTGTTCCATTTGATTGTTTCGACTATACTTCAAGACGTCGACTGAAGAATTGTCGGATGATCTACTTCGCTCGCGGCGTTGTCAGTTGATGGATCTAAAGGCCTCATGTTGCAATATTTGGAAGTAGAAAAAAAGAAAGCCCTCCTGCATAATAAGCAGTGGACTTACTGCCCGCAACTATTCCCTCGATGTTTTGTTTGTTTGTGTGTTTTTGTCCTCCTTTGCTTTCAATATATCAACGTCTGTTACAAGAGAGTACAGTGATCGGGGAGTGACTTAATCTGTCAGTCTAAAGGAATATCATCTGTATCTTGTGGCCGATGATAGGGCCTCGGCTTCACGTTGTTGACGATCCTGGTAAGATACTGCGTCCCTGCACCAGCTGGCTGCAGAACATGGCTCAAGTCGAAAGGGTTTGCAGAAGATGGATCAACCATTTGTCTGAATATCGCCTCCTCATTTCCGGTCCCAAAGTCGTCTTGTTGTAAAATGTACTTCCACATCTCAATAACGCTCTTGATACCATCCAGCATACGATGCCTCATTCTCGAGTCAGTGTTGATCCAAACCCTGTAATACGCCATGTCCCAGCATTCACCTTCAAACATCATGGGAAAAACAACCGCAGGGATTCCATGTTTCTTATTAATCTCTCTGAGATCTTTCACTAGGGCCCTTTCTAGAGGATCGAGGGCTTCTAAACTGCCAGTTTCAGCAGCTTTGTTAAAAGCCATATCGAGCAACTCATTGCTAGTTGCTACGAACATTTCTTTCATGTCGTGGTAGCGGAGACTTGAGCTTTTACCAGTGCTGCTTTGACTGGTCATCACCTTCGTTTGTTTTGGTAGACTGTCCTTTTTTTTTCGTTGTTTTACTTCTGTAACAGGATTTGCAGATGCAACTGATTTGTTACTTGGAATGCATTTCTTTTTTATATTACCTTTCTGTTCTTCTTCTTGATGATGAAGCAACTCTCTTGTAAATCGCACAGGCCGTTCCAGAATACGTTCAACTCTTTCGGTCAAGGATTCCAGGGTCTCCGGGTTTTCAATATAATCTTCGCCAAACAGATTGTATGATCTCACAAAGAAGTGTGGCAAATTTTTCTTTAAAAGGGCTTGTAAAAGGTTTTCAAACAGTTTCATAAAGCAAAACACTCTGTTGCTTTCAGTCCACATTCCGGGATCAGTTTCCTCAAGTGTTTTCAGAAGTAGGTTTTTCAGGTGAAAAGTGACCAAACCCTCTGGAGCAGTAGAAAGATAGGCTCGATGAAATTTCTTCATGCAACGGTAGCAGTCTCGCTGTACACTGTTCATCTCTTGACTTAGTAGGTATTCTGCGTGTGAAAATGATAATCTGAAGTCGTATTTGGGATGGCCACCAACTTTGGGCGGCTTTACCACCAAGTGGAATCCTTCTTGAACAATCCTATCAACAATTTGAGGCGAAGGCCACTTACGCACTTGTTTAATCCAATCTTGTGCAATCTTCGGCCAACCTCGACATCTTAAAGCAGGGACAAAATCAAATCCTCCGACGATATCATGGCTTTGTGCTTTTTCCGTGTTTTCGAATTTAGTTTCAGGTTTCGTGCAAGCTTTGGTTTTTGGTTCGTTTACTGTCTCGAACAGGTGCTTGAACCAACGGTCATACACCCTTTTCTCGAATTCTTCATCTTGAGTGTCTTTATTTCCATCTTCCATCTTACTGATTGTCTGTTTCTGCATTGTCCATGGCTGTGATTGTGGCATCCGTTCTTGATTCTCTTTTTCTCGACTGTGTGAGGTAGTTTCCTCGCAATTTCTTTCGTTCTCGCCTCCTTCCTCTGAGAAATAACCATCCCTTTCCCGAAAATTCTTTACTGATGACCCACCTGGAAAGGAATAAAGATTCTCAGCATTCGGACTCTGGTTGTCGCCAGTAATGCTAGGTGTGACGCATGATTCATTTGTACTGAGTGGCAAGATCCCTTCCAAGCCTTCTATAACTTTCATTTCGCTGGTGTCGTTAGAAAATCTTTCTGGCTCAACACTCTCTTCGGAATTCATTCTCTCGCCTACTGCTGGAAAGTATTTTGTTTTTCTGCTTTCGTTCTGTGTTCTTCTGTCAATATCACGATATCGGGTTTTCAGGGTTTCAAATCGGTCGCTCATTAAAAGTTCTTGCGCGATTATGGGAAAACTTCGAGGAGAACCAAACAAACCAGTTTTTTTCAATGATATTTGTGCCTCATTGACATACTGGAATACATCGGTTATAACTTGGGCGTGTTCTTTGGTATACTCAATTCCTCTGGCTGTGCAAAGGTCATGTGCCATCCATTCCCATTCAGATACATCCAAATTGGCCAAATATCTTGGATCTTTTTGTTTGTTAATCTGTTCGGTGTTAGAACCGTTGGAATGGGCGTAATTAACCGTTAAAGCTGGACTTGTTGGACTATTCTTCCATTCATAAATGCCATTGAAAATTTCTTCTCGAGACATCACTTCAAGTGTCCGAGTGAAGAAGTCCACCAAATGAGGTGGGAAACTGCCATAAATTGCAGAATGAAAGTTCTTTAAGGCCGCTGTGGCTAAGAAGTCTGTACCCTCTACTAGACAGGATTTTAAAATGGGGTGGTTTACTCCCTTGATTCTGATGTGCATTGGGTGTTCGGGTATGTATTCAATGAGGTCGCCATGGATAATTAAATTATCCGAATTGGGAAATATCACAATATCTTCATCCCCTATATCTCTGGTTTGCGGACACTTTAAATCTTCTGCTGTGCTGCCATAATGTCGAAAAGTGATGTTAGTGTTAAATCTGTGGTTGATAATCTCTGACAGATGCTTAAAAATGAAGATGGAAACATGTTCGGTGTGCTCCTTTAAAGCCTGGCCATCTTCTCCTCTTTCTCCTAGTAGTTTGAGGAGAAAGTTTAAATCTTGGGCTTCCGTATCTCCTCCTGCCGCTGCCATTCTACAGAACTGTAACAATTCCTAAGTGGAAAGAGCTTTAAAATGTCATATGTGTCGAAAATGAAAATGTTGAGTATTGTTAAGTATTTTACTTTCTATGACCTACCTTAAGTTTAATTATTCTACAAAAAACGAAAATAATTGTTCTATTCATACCTTTCTTTTCCCATGACAGAAGCTTTGTTAAGTAATATACTTTGTTACTTGTTATTATCATCATTATTATTGTTGTTATTACTATTATTATCATTAATATTATTTATTATTTATTATTATTATTATTATTATTATTATTATTATTCAGTTCATGAGACCGTATTTCCTCTCTAAGGGCCGGGTCCAAACCTTGAATCTGAGGCACTTGAGGGTTGCTTTGTCTTGATCGATAGAATATGTACCGTTTCCAGCAACGCTTTCTTTCAGGAGTTCCTCTGTCTTTTGAAATTCCCAGAGGTTGATGTTTCATGGAATTTCTCTGACGAGCTTCTCTGAGCCTTTCTTATTCACTCCTAACGCACCTACGACCACCCAGTCTCCTTCGCAGCCGCTCGGACCGGAGTCCCCGGGAGCGGCGAGCATTTCGTGACTCCGGCCCGAGGGGCTACGCGGTTTTCGATGGAGACTAACGACCACTGGGATTATTTCTGTCTTCAGCTACCACATTCTGGTGATTTCTATATCAAGATCTTTATACTTGGATAATATTTCGGAAACCTTGTTGGAATTATAATATTATCATTCAGGGTCACGCAACTACGGTTTCCTCCTAAACACATTAACAACACTTTTCAGGCTAGAGTACTTTTAGATCTCCAGGAATGCATTAATATTCTAAGTGGCGCTTTAAAATGTGTCTCTATTCGGCAATCATAGAGAAACTTGACTGTCTTGAGTCTTTTCGAAATTACATGCAAGGGCCTCAGTGTTATTCAGTATTATTTTCCCGACAATGTTAGAGGCAATTTAACGTATTACGAGTGTGGGAATATTTCTGATTTCTCTCTCTCCATCATATTTTTGAATCCGAACATTTTAGGTTTCCCTTTTTTTACGAAAGATAGCCTAACCTAGGGATTGAAATATGAAAAATAAAACTTCAGAACATGAAATCGTAGGGAATTTCTTAGATAAACTTTGAAAATTGTTCATGAATGGAACGGTCATCTAGACATTTTTAGCCGTCCTCAAGTAATAGAATATTCTAGCTAATATCTGCATCTCCGAACAGATACAGTGTTTTACAGAAAACAGTCGTTGGGTGCCCCTGATTATTATTATTATTATTATTATTATTATTATTATTATTATTATACATCAACAACTCCCTTCTACTTCCTACACGTAATAATGTGGCAAAATGGAGATTATCAGAAAGTCCTGATTGCTCATTTTGCCTTAATCCTGAATGACTCCTTCATATTGTCGCTGGTTATCGACAGTACTATACCTTGATCGCTTCACCTGGAGACAGGACTCAATCCTTAACTTCATTGCCAAGTCACTTCAACCCGTAATTAATGTTCACTCTTCACTCTATGCCGATGTTAATGGTTTTCTGCATCCTCTAATAATAACTGGTGAAAATTATCGTCCAGATCTTCTTTTCCTAATTCAGTCCAAGTGCCTATATATTCTAGAATTAACAGCCAGTGCTTTCGAGTCTAACCTTAATAACAATGCAATGCGTAAAAAAGAAAAATACCTGAACTTGTCCAAAGAAATGAGCAGAAATTACATATGTGTGAAATTTGTAAGCCCGGTGGCTTCTCTTGGGCTTCCTCGCCGTGAGAATTTAAATAATTAGATTTTTATTTGATTTGTACAATTTATGGCAAACAAAACAATGAACCTCTCCATGAGCTCCCTTGGTGTTTTCTCCGACGAATGCCCCACGTTCTTAGACATGATGAATGACATTGCAATTGGGCATTGATAAAAAGGAGCAATATTATATAATAATAAAAAAGATAAATGTAGCCATTAGAGCAACATATTACATCTTTCGTTGTAGAATTAGGAATCGGAATACTAGGCTTAATGAAATTTTGATTTTTGAATAATTCAATCTCAAGCAGCCAATTGTAATTTGCCTAGTAGCGAGATTTTCAATTGTACATTCATAAAAGACAAATAAAGTTGCCATTATTATCAGTATATGCATATCTCACACCTATAGGTTAGCCCGTGTACAGACGCTAGGGGAGCGTCTGTACACTGGCTACTATTGGTGGCCTTATTCCCCAAAGCTATCTCCTATAGCATTAGGTTTCAAGAGTCTTTGTTGATCTCTTGTTGAGCTGTTCCCAAAAAACAAGAGAACCTGGGAAGGAGGTTGCAAACAAGCTTTCTGGAGCGATGCAATAATCCCAGGTGTTCCCAACTTGCTGATCCACATCCTTAGGTACAATAGACATGATAGATACACTTCTGCAGTTCCAGATCTTTTGCACTTCCCCTTTTTAAGTCCTGATAGTGGATTTTCTCCCTTTCTTTTTCTGCTACCCGTGTATCAAAAGGGCAAGCTACATCGACAATTATATAGCACACCCTGCCCTCCTTTTTCAGCTCTACAATATCAGGTCTATTGTAGTCTAAATAGCGGTCGCTGTCTGAATTCTGAAATCCCACAGTAACTTCACTTGGTCATTTTCCATCACTATCTGTGGAGAATGGTCATACCAGGTTTCGCTGCACTGCAGATAAATCTTTTTGCAAAGATTCCAGTGGACAACTTGAGCAACCTTGTCGTGTCTCCAGTTTTTAGACTGATTTGAGCTAATTTCTTGCATTCTGCAGTTATATGGCTGACATCCTCCCTTTCTCCGCATAGGTGGCACAACGGTAAAACATCTGGCTTGTCAATCTTCTTTTTGATGCAATTTGTCCGAAGAGCCTTATTTTGTGCAGCAGTTAGAAGACCTTCGGTTTCTTTCTTCAAGATCCCTCCTTTCAACAAATTCCATGACAGTCTCTAATCTTCAGTGCTCCTCAAAAATGTAACTGTCCGTGTAATGATTTATCTCTGAAGCTGCATGGTTAACCTTCTTTGACTAACACTTTCCTTCTCCACCCCTTCATCAGTGTTCATCTAAGATCTGATTTTCGTCTTCAGTAACCGATTAGACCAATGATTAGCAACCTCTCAGAGCCTAGTGGCCTCCAAGGTACTTATGCAAGCTGCCAACATCGATGTTAACACGATCTTCAACCCTTGTCAAGCCTCTGCCTCCCTTTGATCATGATCTCTTGACATAAAATCTATCTACATCTGCTTAGAGATGAAGTCAGTGATTTGTAAATTGTTAGCAGCTTTCTTGTTTTTTCTGTCCAATGTCCTTAGTTCCTCTTTACTCCAACTGTTGATAACTGACCGAAATCGTGTTAATGAAACTACTCTTGAATTAAGTGCGCTTACAACATTCCCACCGTTCAGCTGTAACTTTTAGATTCTTCTTTATGCTCCTTAAATTATTCTCCAATTATTTCTTTACCATTTTTTTTTTTCACTATTTAGCGTCTTTAACAGTAGCCTGCGAAAACAGCCGTTTTCTCCTCACTCCTCGCCTCTGGGAACGTTTCGCTACTTAAACAAGTTAGCCTCCAACGCATGCGTTTTTAGGAGACAAACTTAAAGGAAGGAGTTTCAGGGTTTTTAGAGAAGCTCGAATTTCGTCCCTCCCCCATTGAGGAGGGACAAAATTTGGGTTGTTTACCATTTACAAAAAGTTTCCGGGAAATCCGGTTGGAAAGGAGTCTGTAGACTGTTCACAGTCCCCTATTTTTTCGTGAGATCGTTTAGATATACCGCGTCTTACCGTCACGGGTATCTTGATTTTCAAATGTACCAAAGGGCTGGGCGTCGGGGATTATAGTAGTCAAGATGGCAGCCCGTAATGCAAAGCGCTCGGTGTCGATGATCTTACGGAAAAATAGAGGACTGTGAACAGTCTATCCCTCCGGAGAAGTTTCTTCCCTTACACCTGTACACATAAAATGACGATCCCACAGGATCCCAACATGCATTGCGATGAAAGACAATTACACATCCGGGCAATACGTCTGTTCCCGCCGACTTCAAACGTGACTGGTTTCGACCGGTTAGCTCCGAGCTCAATAAGGATATTGCGATCTTGCGTTGTGATACCATCCCTTTCAATCTCAAGCCATCGTTTCTCCTCTGTTGATATTGAAGGAAAAATTAATATAATAAGAAATCAGCTTTATAGGTGAAGACAATTATCCATTGTTCTTGATCTTGAAAAAATGCAGCAACCAACTCAAGCGGTCTCCACTACTCAAGGTACAGAGCCAGTAGCAACATTCAAGGTATGTTTTAACTTTCGCCAGCTTGCAAATCCTACTGATTTTTTCTAAACCGATTGCCGTTGTTTAATGTTAATTGCTCTTATAACAGCTTGTTCTTGTTGGTGACGGTGGTACAGGGAAGACAACGTTTGTTAAACGCCATTTGACAGGAGAATTCGAGAAAAAATATGTTGGTGAGTACGCGACGTGCAAAATTATACAATACGTGCGGTACCTTGAGAAGAGACATGCCCAATAGTTACCTTCAGTTTGTCGTGTTCGGAACTCTTGAGACGTAAATCGCTCTTCTTCTCATAAAATATTTGGCAGAGCAATTTATGCTACACCTGGCTGCGTACAAACAGTAAGCTTAACTAAATCGTACATGTGACCATCAGTGCTCTAATCGTGTTTCTTTGGTACATTGCCGATCGCTACTTTTTTCAAAACTGTTAAGAAATAGAGGTAATTTGGTAGACGACGATGAACTTTATGGTCACAGCCATTCCTATTGCAATCGCTCCATGCACTTTTCTTGTTCCGGTTTTGTAGTTTTCAGAAGTAATAGGTAACATCGGGTGAAACCAGATTAGACAACTTATGAGGTGTACACCCTCCATTATTCTCTAAAAGTATAAATACTGGAACAGCACCCCACTAACCTTGTAGAATTGCTTAAAAAAAAAAGCAAAACAGCAGAGTGCCAGTTATGGAGAGAACATACAAGAGAGTTAAACACTGATCTGAAATGATTGTGCACAAGTCAATGGAAAGCCCTGCACCCCAATACCCGGATAATGTGGGGAATTTCTTTAATTTTAGACTGTTCTTTTTGTCATGGTGTGCGGGGTTTCAACTACATTTAGATGCAAGTATCAGGGAGCCGGGACAAAAAGCAGGGCTTAGGCAGGGATTCACTTTCGACCCCATGTTGAATAGGCACGCCGCGCAAAGATCACTGGGAGAATAGACCTTTTCATGGTTTTTTCAGCTTTTAACATGGACAACTTAGGAAAAATCTGTCGACAACATTGGAAAGAGCACCTTAAAATTAGTAAGATTGTCAAATTTGAAAGTGATACATTTTATGCAAGCAAAGATTGCGAAAATTTACAGACGTTTGTATGGTGGGGGCAAGTTTGTGCCCCCCACCATACAAGCGTCTGGAAAATTTCGCGACTTTGAGGAGCAATATCTTTGTTAGTTTTCAACAAATCACATTCAAACTAGGCAATTTTATTAATCTTAAGGTGTTCTTTTTAGTGGTGTCGATGGATTCTCTCCAACTTGTACATGTCAAAAGTTGAAAAAAAAAACATGAAAAGGTCTATATATGGTCTCACTTCATTCAATTTTGGCTGCATGAGAAAGAGAAATGGACAGTACTGTTAATGTAAATATCTGTTAAAGTTCAGTTGGAGACAAAAATTCTTAAATATATTAAAAAATGATTTTGGTCAACATTGTGCATTTGTTATTTTTTGAAGTACTTTATTGCCCCAGGAGTGGGGACCAAAAGTGCAGTTTGACGCTCAAAATTGCCCCGCGGCTTAGTCTAATACCCCTCTATTCCCCAGGTATGGGGGTGCGGGGCTTTCCCCTGACTAGTGCATTAGGGTTAAGCACTGAACTGAAAATGGTTAGCTTTCAAATGAATGGGATATGGCAGAAGTAAGTGTCTACTGCATTTCCTCGAATAATAGCTGTCCAAGGATTAATCGCCACCCTCGAATAATCGCCCCCACTCACCCCTCTTGCCACTTTCTCTTTATTTTATCCCCTCCCTATCAAGTTGAAGTAGGATCTGATCCAGCAAAACTGATGAGTGACAATTCAAGCTCTGAAAACTAATCAACGAACCAAATTTGGAACACTTAAAAGGCCCATGTTCAGTTTACTTGATGTGATAATTTTTTGATTCAATGGAATAATAAAACAAACTATATAGGGGACTTCTTCTAGGGAGCAATATTTGAAATGATCATCCCTGGCTATTATTCGAGGAAATACGGTATTTTAGGAATTACTAGATTTGGCAGCTAAGCCTCATGTAGTGGATACAGTTGTAGGGTATGAAGGAAGTGGCTCAGGTTGAAAGTGTCCCAGTCCTGTGTAACTGTCTTATATTACACAGGAAGTAAGATTTTTTCATGTAATTTTACTGAAAGAAAGTCTGGCTTCAGCTTGATGTTACCTAATGCTAACCTTAATACATAATTAAACAAGCTTCATTAAAGCATCTATTCACACTAGCAAGTTTTTCTTGATAGTGCTATGGATTAAGAAAAACTTTGACAAATTTTTTCCTTACACTGAGATTGAACTTTAAGATTCGCTCTTCTTACACTAAGCATAAAGAGGAAAACTTGCTAGAGTAATTGAGGCTTTGGCAAAGTGACCAGTTAGGTTGCATTGATAATGGTGCAAACATGTGATACAAGTTTTATTTTGATTACTTTTATAATAGCCACATTAGGAGTTGAGGTTCATCCATTAGTCTTCTATACAAACAGAGGTCCCATTCGCTTCAATTGCTGGGACACAGCTGGTCAAGAGAAGTTTGGTGGTCTTCGTGATGGTTACTATATCCAAGGGCAGTGTGCCATCATCATGTTTGACGTTACATCAAGAGTAACATACAAAAATGTACCAAACTGGCACAGAGATCTTGTTCGAGTGTGTGAAAATATCCCCATTGTTCTCTGTGGAAACAAGGTGGACATCAAAGATCGCAAAGTCAAGGCTAAAACAATAACTTTTCACAGAAAGAAGAATTTGCAGGTATTAAAACTTCACGAAATATGTCAGTTTTCTTTATTGTCATTGTTAGGGTCACTCATTCATTCACTTATTTTTGCCATTAACCACATACAAATACAACAAGAATATACAGAAATTTATAATACATTTAAAAGATAATATACACGTCTATTCTAACTAAATTATTTACAAAATTAAATGTTTAAGGTGGTAAGGACAAGGAAGCCTACGTGTATATAGAAGCGGGGAGTTTATAAACTATAGGCTTCCTGGAACTATAGGCTAAACCATGCAAGTTAAGGGTACTGAATGAAAATTTGGATTAATTTTTAAAAGTAAAGAAAAGAAAAAAGAAAAGGTATGTGGCTCAACAAAGAGTATATTTCACTAAGAAAGAAGGGATTTTTGATGCTTACATGGGCTTTAAGGGTTCTGAGCATTTTCTTGAAATGGTTAACACCTCCTCAGGGCTTGAAAAAAGTCTGATCCAGTAGTCCAGGACGAGTACATTTTCAGGATGGAGGAGAAGTACAGTCTAACCTCTCCTTACGGACACCTCCCTATAATGGACAGTTTGTTTGGTCCCAGAAATGCCAAAAATCATACATTCCCTGCCTCTATTAATATGGACACCTCTGTAAAGCGAACAATAAATTTGCTTCTGTCCCTTTGGTGTCCGTATTAAAGAGGTTTGACTGTAACTTATAAAGCTGACTTGCCCAATGTTCAAGGGTCCAGGCAAGTGATCCTCTAACAAAATCATCAACTAGGAGGAAGAAGTGGCCATGAGGACAAGCTGGAGTTTCACATTTTTTAGCCCTCCTCCTGCAGTGATTTTGTTACCCCGTGTCCTGTGTCTCTGACGCTTAAAAATTCTCAAGGACATAAAATATTTCTTTGGGACGTAATAATCAATCAATCTAAAAGATGTTTTTAAAAGGATGCCCTGTTTGCACAATTTGAAATATGTATTGAGAGCTACCTCCAAACAAGAGAGTAACACTGTGCGTTCACAAAATAGTTTAAGAATAATTTCTGAACAAATAGACAGATATCTTCACACAGATTCTCTGATACTGTTTTTTTACTCATTATGTTTGCCATCTATGGAAAGCACATGGCTGAACCAAGATGGCAGACAGTGGTTCCTAACATGGCAAAGCATTTTTGTAACTGATTGTATCAAGCTTTAGGGCTTGTTAACATTAAAAAGAAATTAGAAAATAGAACATTTTTTGTCAGGAAGGGTGTAATAATTTTTTAATATCAGTACACTGTAATGTATTACAGAGATAAGTGCTTTGCTGTTGAAAGTAGACTACAGATTAAACGTGATTGTCTGGTTTCATGTGAGTTCTGGCATCTTTTAATATAATAAGGACTCATTGGGTCATTGATTCCGGACTGAGACTTGTGATTTTTCATGAGATGAGTCCCAGGACTCACTATTACCATTGTAACAAATTCACTGTCCTGTTTAAACTTAAAACAAAACATTTGTTTAGAGGTAAAACATTAAAATTATAGCAAGAGTATTTCCAGTTTTTTTGGTTGCTTTAAGTTTTTTCAAAAACTATTTGACTAGTGGACATGCAGCTAAGAGTTGTTTAATATTGTACACTTGATGTCAGGTCCAGAGGGACACAGTTTTATTTTCTTGAGACATTAGGACTTAGAGAAAACTAAATAAACTTGTTTCCAGAGGTACCCGACATTAAGTGTTTTGTTATATTCTTAGACTTTCACTTAAACAGCGATGAAGAATATAGAACGAATCAAAACAATATCATTACTTATAGAGCTTTAAAAGAACACTAATTCAATTTGCAAAAGCGCTGAATGAGTGATTCACAAAGTACTTCCCTTGCATCAAATGGCGTGCACAGAATGTCACCAATTCCACTCAGCCTTTGAAAGAAAACCAGTTGCAAATATATTTAAATCAAACAAATGGATCAAATGCACAGGTAACTTGCAGTCCTTGTGTCGTACTTGACAAGAAAATGTATTTCCAAGTGTTGTTAATTGTGTAGGTCACACAGCAGTAAAAGTAAAGTACACTAAATTAATACTCTTTTGTTTCAGTACTATGACATCAGTGCCAAGAGCAACTACAACTTTGAAAAACCATTCCTATGGTTAGCAAGGAAACTTGTTGGTGATCCAAACCTGGAGTTTGTTGAGATGCCAGCTCTTGAACCTCCTGAGGTCCACATGGATCCACAAATGGCAGCAATGTACGAGAAAGAACTTCAAGCTGCTCAAGCTACAGCTCTCCCGGAAGAAGAAGATAATGACTTGTAGTTTTAGAAGCATGGGTCCTGTTAGTTTCAAGAGTGAGGATAGCAACTATGCTTCACTTTACTTCAACCTCATATTATTATAGTATTTGAGTTATTATATACTTTGTAAATGTCCAATTTTTGTTATGGAAGTTAAACAGAGTACATATAAATGAGTGAATAGAACAACACAGCAGATTGTTAGTTAGAAAAATCCTTCAGGCCCAGGTTGTTCAAAAGCTGGATAGCGCTATCCACCGGATAAATCACTATCCAGCGGATACGTATTACGGGAAACAATTGCGTTATCCGCTGGATGGTGATTTATCCGCTGGATAGCACTATCCAACGTTTGAACAACCGGGGCCAGGTCTTTAATAAAGTTAATATGTTGTAGTGGTGTTATCATGTAGTTTTACTGACAGTAGAAGTGACGAAAAGGTCTAGCTTTTGAATTCAGCACAAAGCATATTTATTAGAATGCTCCATAGTGAATCTACAGAAGATTCCATTTCAGATATTAAAAACCTTTTTTTCATAGTATCAGGCTGTTTATAGAAAAGAAGAGCTTGAAACAGAATGCAATTTACTGCAAATGTAGAGCTTTTAATTCAAAATAAAAAAAGTCATAAAACTAAAACATGTCATTTTTTTTGTCATATCTATGTAGGGAATAAGTTAGCAATCAAGTCTTCTTAGGCATCACACAGTAACGTTTCTTGGCTAGAAAAAAACTGAGAGCACATCATCACTATCCCTGTAAGAGTGAAGTGTTTGCTCCTCACTAGATTAAACTTGCTTATTGCCCATGTGAAATTACACATAGGTGCTATCTTTTATTTTTGCTTTTGTGTTGTTTTGCTTGTTCTTGCTTTTGAAGTTGACGCTTGTAATCATCAAATGTCAGTATGTCTGCTTCCTCTCCAGTTTTGCTTTTTCTTTCAAGGAAAAGGCCAAGGGGTTCTCTATGCAAAAGAGAGATACTTCTGTTCCAATAAGGTTCCTCTATTCCCAGCACTTCACGGACCTTTTTGGCTATTACCTAGGGTAAAGAAGTAAAATAAAGTAAAGAGGTAAAACAAACTGTTTTGCCTTTCCCTGATTCAAACTGTTTTTTTACTTCAACATTAGAAATCAGAACCTTATTCCCACACTTGAGTTGCACAACACAAAATTGGAGGACAATTTTCTTCCTGACATAATGTGCTAGCACCTTTAGCCCTTTGTTCATTAAGACAGTGATGATGTGCGTAAGGCAGAAAGCAAATATTTCTTTTTTCTTCTTAACTCGGACAGACAATAGTACAATATTGCATTGACATAAAGGGGTAACGTCATGCTATTTGCTATCTTTTTAAAAAGCTAAAACTTCTTTGGCATGAATTGAATTCCAAAACATAATGGTCATTCTTATTTAAGACTCTTTAGGCATTAAAACCTGTTTTCTGTTACAACAGATAGCAGGGATGGATGTGGATTGAAACCTGAACTAGTTGGGCCAACTTTTTCAAGTTTTAATGCTATACCTGCAAAAATCACCAAAAAAAATTATGGTTAGTGCTCCATAGAGACATTTGTCTGATATCTCTTTCATACATTAAGCTTGCTTAGTGCTCCTGTAGCGTTAGGCACTAAGAAATGTCTTCAGCACAGAATTAACCTACAAATCAAAATTAACCCCCAAAAATTCCATTTGCTTTGCTGTTTCCGATGAAGTGCTTCAGAAATATTATTTTATCGGCCTTTATGAATATTCTACTAAATACAAAAATCCTTAGTGACTCGGCAAGGAATGGAAATGATTGTCTCCTTAGCTAAACTATCCATGTAATATTTTTACGTTCAAGAAAATTTACTTGCTGGAAATAAAGGGCAAGGTGTTAAAGTGCTCACAGGGAGCTTTCCCTGCCTCATATACTTGGGACACTTGTAGTTTCCCAACCTCCATAAAAAATTTACAACACTATGATACAGGTGTCGCCATAATTATTTTTCATGTGAATGCGAATCATGTGAATGCTGCCATCTGCCATTTGCACATCCACCATAATATACCTTGTCTGCTCCCCAAAATTTCGCTTGTGCAAAAATTCTTTTTGGGGGGGTGGGGGGAACAAGGCATATTTTGGGAGATGTGCAAATGGCAAATGGATAATATTAATTATCAAGCTAAATGAGATATATATGTAAAGTTTCATAAGAATCTGTTACTAACAAGATCATGGACACTATCACTGTCAATTAACTCATGAAGACTACCACTATAATGATTAATAATAGGTTAAGGAGGTGGAAAAGTACCTTGATGTGTTCAAAATCATTTACTCCCATTCTCGGCAGTGATGATGCATCAACATTGATAAGTTTCCTTCCATTTATAAGGTTATCTTTAAAGCAGGCCTGTAAAAAGTTAAGAGTATGACCAATAGTTTGTAGACCTTACCATAAAACTGATGGTTGACTATTATTCTTTGTATCTATTCTGATGAACCTCAAACTTAAAAGAATCATTATTCTAGAATAATTAACATAGATGTAAAATAACATTTACAAGTACCACTGTTCCAAGAATAAGGTCTTCAAATATATCACAGGCTCCAGGAGACGTTTCCAGGGAGGGGGTAGGGGGTATTCCCACTGATGTCCGGACTATACATATGCATTATTGACCAAAGGTCAAGATGGCTGGATATTGGGCTCATTCTTTTTTGGGTCTTTATTGACCGAGACAAAGTCGAGATCAATAAACACACAAAAAAGAATGAGCCCAGTATCTTGCACCCACCTTGAACTACCCCACCCTCAATAACAATACTAAAATTAATGAAAGACTGCAAACGGAAATGAAAACAATACCTGTCAAATTTCTGTATTAGAACATTCATTCTCAAACTCATTAATAATTCATTAAGAAAATACAAAGGAAATTAATGTTTAATGAGTGTTTGGAAATCAGATNAAATTAATGTTTAATGAGTGTTTGGAAATCGGATGAAACACTGCTTAGTATTTGCATCCTTAATTTCTCCTTCAAAAATGATTTTGTTTGAGAAGAAATATCAAACATTCGACACAGTGTTTCATCACCAGATGAAACACCTCGAAGTTCGTCAAAAATACTCCGCTGCGCGTCGTATTTTCAACTCTCTTCTCGGTGTTTCATCTGGTGATGAAACACTGCATCTCATGTTTGATATATTACATAAGTAGAATACTAGTAAACTTTCCCCTAAAAGACATCTTGTGCATAAGCGAGTGTACCTTTATCATTATTCTAGGTTAGTTTAGACAAAAACATGGGATAATTCAACCTCGTCCCCAGCGTAGGGGTAAAAGTCTTGTGTCACTGCACATATTTCAGGAACACTGCGACGATTAAAGAGCTTAAGTCAGTGAGCCATTATGCAAGACGCGGAAATAAAGTCCGTTATCTAAGCAACTGAGTGCCATTTTGTGAAATGTACTTTTGATAATCTAACAATTTGATAAGCAGTCATAGAACATGCACAAATTTCTTCAAACATGGACCTGCATCAAATGTTTAAACATCGATTTGTTTCCTTACTCGATATTGTTTGAAACCTAAAAATTCCATCCAGTCTGCAACGTCTTCGATATTCCAAGTAAGACAGGAAGGCGTTCCATCGGAGTCAAAAGTCGGCTCGAATCCATTGTCAAACTTTGTGGGAGTCTTCCTTGAACTTTTAATAAGTCCTTCCGCCATCTTTGTTTTCCTTGACAACAAGTGATCTATCCCATAAGTCCGCACGCTCTTTTACACATCTACTTGACGGGGAGAGGGGTAGAGGGGAAGGAAAGATGGGATTCAGGACAGATTCAGACTTGTTTTTCCAAATGTTTTCTTCGTTTTGAGGATGTTAACAGTTACTCTCTCTTTTCAGGCTCCTCTAAATTGGAAATAAAATAAAGTGAAACAGGTGGAAGCGCCATTTCGCGGGCGGTCGTGTACGCAGTACGCTGGATTCTAGCTTGTACTTTTGGGCACGAAAAGAAGAAATTATTCAGTAAACTGACTAGTGTTTTGAAATTTGTAGATCTGAAAATATAAAAAAGGTGAAACTGGCGCAACCTCGTTCCCAGGGTTCTCTCCTACCCGGGAGAGAACCCTGGGAACGAGGTTGAGACTGGCGAAGCGCTTTGATACGAACATGTAAAAACGGATAAAACAAAGGGGAAAAGGCAAAGGAAAAAGAGAGATAGAAAAGGGAAAAAAAAAGAGCTAGAAAAGAGATCGACCTGTAAATTCGCAAAAAACAGATGGCTTCTGCGCATACGTACTCACTCACCGTCTTCTTATATTGGCTAAGTGCGCACAGTTGGTTTGGAAATCAGCGAAAACTACAGATTAGTGATTAGTTAGTTGAAGTCTTAGGCTAGATTTCCACTGTCACGTAATTTTTACGTGCCTGCGTAAATCAAATTGAGGCATGAAAGGTCGCGCGTAAACGTTAAAGTTGAACCTCGCTCAACTCTTACGTTAACGCGCGACACTGATTACACACGTTCTTTCTACATTTTTTCCGCATAAAATTTACTTGCGTACGCACGTAAAAAATCACGCGACAAATCTGCAAGCAGATAAATGACAAAGCTTTAGATTGCGCATGCATTGCATGATTTCCAAGAGCCATGTCAAAATGAGCTCCGTGCGACGAAGTGTTTGTCGCTATTCTTCTTATAAACAATCTGTATTAAACAATTATTTGTGATTTCCGGAATAATCAGCCTTGGCCTTCAGGCAAAGAAACCGGCCCCCAAAAAGGAGATTTAGGTTTTTTTTATATTTAGTTGAGTTTTTTCGCTAATCGCTGCCGGTCGCCAAATCAGTGGTTAAAGGCAACCAGGCAGCTTGAGTAAAATTGGTCTTTTTCGATGTAAATTCGTCCAGTTGACCACATTTAGCATAAGAAAGGTTTGTAAACTAAAAAGGAAAGAAAGGAAAAGGACAAGAAAAAAATCTAAGAAAACGGAGAGGGGCCCTAAATTCAGGGGAGTATGACTTGTATATCATTAGGGAGCTTAAGAAGCGACGTTTTTGTGCAACGCACGTCAACCGGAAGTGATCCTTTTTCTCTTTTAATAAGCATTGATGCTACCATATTTGTATTGCCAAGTGTCTTAATTCTTATAGAGACGATTTGCCCAAAAATTTGTTCAAAATCACGGCTCAAGAATCCAAAAAGTCCACTTTTGGTTGACGTGCGTCGTTCAAAAGTGTCGCTGCCTCAACTCCCTATTTATGGAAACAGGTCATTAAACGCGTTGCAAAACCCAAGCCCAGTTGCAACAGGAGTACTAACAAAAATTGGCGCAAACCAAGAGAGGGCAATAAGCGTAAACAAAAGAATCGAAAACCAGCAAGATTGTAAGGTACAGCACCTTTTAATTTAACCATAGTGACTACAATTGACTCGGCTTTCAGGTAGAAAAGAACTAGTAAAAAATACATGAATTCCTCTTTCGTTAAAAAATAATGCTACTGACAGTCCTCTTTAGCAAAACCAGGGCCTTAATGACTCTCATGGGGTGCTATTGGATTTCCCCTGCGCGAAGTGACTGCAGGCGCGAAAATCGAAAGATCTAAATACAGCGCCCGCACTCACTCACATCATGTCTACAGGTTAGCCTGCGCGGCTGGCGTCGAAAGGGGTAGGGGAGGAGCGGAAAAGGGAGG